CTCGCTTTCTGTCTCTATATCTCTCTCTGTCTGTCTGGCGAGCGCATGCGACCTATAGTGAAAACCTCTCAAAAAAAAAAAAAAAAAAGAAAGAAAGAAAAAGAAAGCAAGCCACCAGGTCTGGGACTCGAACCAAGGTCAGCCATGTGGGAATGTCCAGCACCTTAACCACCACACCATCTGCTGATCCACCTAATACCTTTTTTTTCATCCTCCTCTTGGGATTTTGTGCATGCATGCACACATGCCCAGCATGATTTTCAAGTCACTGGGTCCCGGATTTGAACTGCATAGTCAGCCAGGTGGGATCCACCACCTTGTAACCATCTTGCCACCTGCTGACCCCCAAGATCATTTTCTTTAGCCCAACCAGCTTCTCTGTTGTCAAGGCCTGTGCAAAGCACTGCAGGGCAGAGTTGACCAAGACCATTCTCCATGCTGTGGTTCCTTTTTTTTTTTGAATGATTTTTGCTATAGGGCACATGCACTCACTGGAGAGACAGAAAGCAAGATCTCACACACACACACACCCCAGGGGAGATGGCCACACAGCAATCCCTTCTCATCCATTCTCCTCTCGAGATTTCGGGCACGCCTGTACATGCGCCTGACGGACCTGAGGCCGGCAATGTGAGTCCAGCGATATAATCATTACACCATCTGCTGGTCCCCATGCTGTTGTTCTTAAAGCACCTGGCGTTTGTCCTGAAATCGGGCAACAGAGAACATGCCCACAGCATGGCTCACAGTGCTCTTGTCTGCAAGAGGCCAAATGACAGGTTATTAATAAAACCTACATGATGACTGTCAGATCCACGGGCGAGGGGAGGGGACAGCTTGCTCTCAGCTCTGGCCAGTAGCTGCAGCCCCGTGACTGTCTTGCCTGGCTAGGTATATGAGGTGAAGCTAGAGGAGTCCCCCAGGCCCCAAATGACACCTCAACCTACATTCGTAAGTTAGCTCTACCTCCCCTCCCCTCCTGCTCCTGTTCCCCGGGAAGAACTTCTAATAATGCAATGCAGCTTTCCCCCTGCAGCCTGCAATGCCTCTTCCTTTCTTTGACTTTTTAAGATCCAGTTCAAAGGGCACCTCCTCTCCTGGAGGCAGTTAGTAACTTCCTCTTCCGGGCTTTCCATAGCTTTGTTTCTGCCTCTGATGTCAGCTCTCCTGGTAAGCCTGGGCCTGGCCCCCCAAAGGGGAGCTGCCCTGATCTGGTGCTGCATGCCTGGTTGGCAGCCCAGGGCCTTGTGCTGGGCCTGACCTGGGGGCCTGGGTGCTCAGCGCTAGGCCAATACCAAACATTCAATGAATAAGCATATGTCTGCATGAAATACCAAAGTGTTGGTACCAGTAGGTGTAATGGTTACATCACTGAGCCGTGGTTCGAGTCTCGGACCCCGTGGCTTAAAGCTCACATCAGATGCATGTGTGTGTGCCCAAAATCCCGAGAGGAGAATGGAGGAGAAGGGATTATGGTGTGGCTATCCCCCTTGGGAGGTGACTTCTTGCTTTCTGTCTTTCTCTCTTCACAAGCACACATGCCCTATAGTGAAAAAACAAACAAACAAACAAACAAACAAAAACTCTCTCTCAAAAAAAAAAAGGGGGGGGGGAAACAACAGATAATGA